TTGAGGGTTCAGGGCTTAAGGGCTTAAAGGGGCTTAGGGGTTCAAGGCTTCAGGTTTGGAGGATTTCAGGGCTTGAAGGACTTAAGGCTCTGGGGATCAAGAACCCCCAAAAATCTCAGAATTGAGGGGCTGGTAAGTGTTGGGCGTTTTGCGGGTTTCGTGGTTTGGGTTTGGGGCGAAGGTTGGGCCGTCAGGAATTGTTCTGGAGTTCGAGGGTTTGGAAGCCTTACGGTTTTAGCCAAATCCCCAACCCTCGCATTTCAACCGTTTCGGGAGGTTTAGGGTTTAGGGTNNGGGTTTCGGGTTTGGGGGTTTAGGGCCGTTATTAAAATGTACTAAGCCCTCAAACCCAAGCCCTTGTTGTCTCGCCTGCTAAGGCCGTGCAGATGCGCGACAAGGACGGCCTTTCGCAGGCGCGTGGGGCATCACAAAGGGGTAACAACAAGAGTAATGATAAGAGGAATAGCAATAGTAACAATAATGATAATCATAATAGTAATCAAGAAGCAACATTAGTCTTTAGGCTCATGGTCTCGAACCCCCAGTCTGCTTGATCGGCAGAATGGATTGGCCAGCTTTGAGTTGCATCGCACCGACCACCCAGTCGCTGCCAGAACTTGAACTTGCAAATCCGTAACACCCTAAACGCTAGCCTGAAACTTTGCGTCATGAATATGGGGTCAAGGAGCTGGCAGCCACTGAGAAGCGTCTCGCGCAGTTGAAGGCGGACATGGAGGACCGCCTGTCGCCCAATGCCGTAATGCAAACACGGGTTCTTTTGGTACGGCTTCTCAACAAGAGCCTTAGAACAACCTAAACCCCGAAGCCCTAAACCGCAAACCAGGCACGAGATTGCATGCCACAGTCTTGCTCTTAGTTTCTCCAATGAAACAGCCGGCAAACTCTTTGCTCGTACCACGACAGCAAGGAACTTTTGCAGGTTTTTTGATGCCTTCCATCCCAAGGAGCGAGGGGCAAGGGTTAGGATGACAAGCCGATAGTGAAGGGCATTTGAGGAGCCAGCTCCGAAAGCAATCCTCGAAGATGTCCCGCCCCAAACGACTCGAAACCATACACCAAGCCCTCAACCCTAAATTGAACTCAAACCTGCCGGCTCGATTTTCTGGGCAAGCTCCGACACAGGCTTGCATCTTTACGGTAAGGCTTTAAAGGCCGTGAGCAGGAAGACTAAAACCAAACGCCTGCTGACCGGAGCCCTCGCACCCGAAACCGACGGGCCATGTACCTCACTGAACTGACTCAAGCCTTGAGCGCCTGAACCTCCTTCCACACATATTCGCCAGAGAGCCAGCGGTGAAACTCCAATTCATTCTTTTCCTTTACGGACCCGCTGCAGGCCAAAAGCCAGCAGGTGGATGCTCTCAAAGAGGAGCTGCAGTCCTCTCCAGGCCTGGTTTGGATGCTTCAGGGTTCAGGACAAGCCTTGAGTTGCATGTGTTCTGGGCTTCAGGGACCAGCCGTCATCCTCTACTCACCGCCACGGCCAGTGCGGCTGCCACCACCACTAGCACAACCCGCAACCGCAAACGTAACCTTGACCCTGTCATCATCATCCTCATCGTCCTCATCGTCCTCCTCATCATCATC